ATGAGGTCAGTGGGAATTATTTACCTAGCCTTTGTTTTTGCTCGTTTACGAGTGATTATATTTGAATACTTGGTCCACAGTCTTGTTTTTGCCTCGTAGGAGAGATTTTGATTCCATACTTTGTTTATAGTCTTGTTTACTTAATTTGGTTCTTTGTTTCCACTCCTTTTTGAGTGCGTTTTGTGTTCAATAAAACCTTTTTGTACCACCTCTGTCCTGCCTTGAAGTCCAATTCTGAATATAAATATTAAGAAAGCATAAAGACTCTGCAAAACCCAACTCTACCATCACTAAACTACCTTAACACTGAATGAAACTGGCTTTTCATCCACAGAATAATGAGGTCAGAGGGAATGAATGTAGTTTGGGATTAAGCCACGATGTTTCACAGGATTAAGTCACAATGTAATTTAGGATTTAAAGGGGTTGTATCCAAATTAATATCAGCAAATGACATTATTTCCACTCGTCTGCTCTGGGTTTTTCCGGTTTTTCCGGTTCTTCCTGGTTTTTCACACCTGCTGTGGAGTTGTGTGCGGGCAGAGAGCAGGCAGCTCTCCCAAAGGACCCCGGAAACAAGTCGGGACACAGTCAGGTCTCCTTTGGGACCCAAGCTGCCTCCTTTGTTTTTAGCCTCTTTACACGAGCTTTAAACAGCTTTAAAAGCCCCAAAAAACTGCTTTAAAAGCCCCCAAAAACAGCTTTAAAAGCCCTAAAAAAACAGTTTTAAAAGCACAAAAACAGCTTTAAAAGCCCCCAAAAAACAGCTTTAAAAGCCCTAAAAAACAGCTTTAATAGCCCTAAAAAACTGTTTTAAAAGCCCCAAAAAACTGTTTTAAAAGCACAAAAAACAGCTTTAAAAGCACAAAAACAGCTCTAAAAGCACAAAAACAGCTCTAAAAGCCCGAAAAACAGCTTTTAAAGTCCCAAAAAACCAAGATCCAAGAAAAATAGGAAGAATGTTGGATCTTTTTAGTCTGAAGTCTTTCTTTGGCCCCTCAACAACATATGAAGAAAAAAACCAGAAATTATTTTGATCAAATTAGCGTGCAATAAGTCAGAAATCTCTGTTGGTGTGGTCTTCTACTGGCTGTTATCAGGTATATCTGAATGTGTACAACAGGGGTTTGAGCAAAGCTTTTACCACTGAATGATGCAGAAAGCCTCACATCCAAAAGAAACCCGATCAGATATCACACATTTGGATTTATGTCACGTCTGGGGGAGTTTCTGGTGTGTTGTCATGTGTTGATTACCTATTGTGTTCACCTGGGGTTCCCCCCCCTCATGTGTTTAAATAGTCCTCGTTTCCCATGTCCTGGGC